CGAAGCTCATCTGTGCAATTTCAGTTCTGATGCAGACTCCTACACAAATTTCCCTTAAAAAAAAGTTCATAAAAATATTAACTATCATAAAATACCTTCCTGGTTAGCTCATGCCATGGGGAAGCCGCTGCTATTCTTACATTACTAATTCTTCCCAGAATTAATCAGTCATTGTACATTAGAACCAGCAGCTGGAGTGTTTTGAGTGATAATGAAACCTGTAACAAGGCATCTTCAGCCGTCTTTTCAAGACAATAAGGGAATTAAAATTTCAATTTAAATGCAGAGGTTTGAAACACGCTTCACTGGCAAAATTACTTCAATTAATGTGAGTGGAATACAAAGAACAGACTGCAGAAATGTGATGCAGCAACCAGAAATTATGTCATTAATGTGCTTGCATCAACCCAGCACAATGACTGCAAAGGTCTAATTTAAACTGTACATATCACAAAGCTACAGGCTACACTATAAATCAAGTCTCTGATTTCCATGTGATGGATGCAAGCTTCTTGTTGGATCACTTTTAGCTTTTTGTAAGCTAACAGCAGCTGTTTACCTTGAAGAAGAAAACAAAAGGCCATGTCTATTTGCAGACATTGCCAGCCATGACAATTTAATTATTTTATGCAATACTCAGGTTATCGTATCAAAGGAAGAACTAAATATCCCATCTAGAAGCCAAGTCTAGAGCCATCAGACCAGTCTAATGCTGAAGTGGGAACTGCAGGAGCCGACAAGAGCCAGGGTCACCACTGATGTAGTTACTCTGGATTTATAACCTGACTAGGGATTAAATTACTGGGCATCTGCACCTGCCTCAAAATAAAAATGCAAAACCTTTTGTTAAATGAATCCAAGGAAATCAGAGGGTTTTGAAAGACGACATTATTGTGTCTTCACTTTCCTCAGATGCCTTAAGTAGATTTTACTTCTACTATCACATAACCATTGGGAAAGGAAATGTGATTATTTTTTCATATGAAGGCCACTGAAAGAGCAATTACAGACCTTACTGTTCAGTCTTATAAACAAGAGGCCAAATTGAAGAATATTTCCAACCTCTTAAGCACTTTAAATCTTACCTCCACGAAATCTTCACTGTATATGAGGATATTCCAACGCCCCAGATCAGGCAAGGCAATTACCTCATCGGGAAAATGGGGATGGTACTGGAAACCTACCTCCCCTAGGGTTGTTGGGAAAATTAAATGTATTACCAAATGTAACATACTTAAAATGGTACCGGCACATAGTGAGTATTCAATATATATTAGCTATTATAATTATTATTTTGTTGTAAAAAGAAAAGATTAGAAACTACAAAACCATTAAAAAGCAAGCAAACAAACAAAAAAATGGGAGAAGAAAATCAGATCAGAGCTCCCAGAGAGAGAGTAAAATGCCTCTTTCTATTTAGTGATATGAAACACTTTCACCATTTGACTAATGACCTGTGAACTATGACTATATGACTATGGTAAGTACAGGGCAGACAAAAATAGATAAGATACAGCCCCTGCCCTCAATGATCTACAATATAAACAAAAGTAATTATATTACAAAGAAATACATACAGCTTATGAAAACAAAGAATAGCATCTACTCATGTTAAGTATTCTTACCACAATAAAAATACATAATTTTTTAAAGAAAAGTATCTAATTACCTGGCATAGTCAGAGATGATAAAATTTAAGCCAAGTTTTAAAGACTAGCTCATCATTTTCCAGGCAGACAGAATTGGGATTAGTTTCAGGGAAATGTATAATCAATTAAAAAAGAAAAAATCTACAGCATCCCTATATAGTAGCAGCAAATAACTAGAAATTGTAATTAATAGCCATTGTTTTAACAAACAAAAATATAATACTCAAAAATAAAAATTATGTATGTAATACAGTATCTCTAAGGAATACATTACTAAGCATTATTACAAAGAACATAAAGACTTCAATAAATGTGAGACATGTCCTGTTCATTGAAAAACTTGTTTTACAAAGATGAAATTCTCTTACATTTAATCTAAATCCCATCACACTTTTTGTGGAACTTAACAAGCTGATACTAAAATTCATTTAGAAGAGTAAAGGGCCAAAAATAGCAGACGATTCTGAACAGCAAGGTGAAGTAGCATCTTCACCTGCTACCAAGATATATTATAAAATTATAGTAATTAAAACAGCATGGTTTCATGTAGACACAGATGAGACCAACTGAACAAAATAAAGAGCTCATAAACAGCCATGCATATATGTGACCAAGATGGCATTAAATCAGTAGAAAATGAATTCAACAAATGGTCTGGGCCAAGTGGCTATTTATATGGAAGTTAAAATTAGATCCTCAGTTCATACCACATATGAAAATACATTCTAAATGGATTTAAGAAGAACACATAGGAGATTCTCTTTATGACACTGAGATTAAAAAAAAATTCTTTTTTTAAAATATATTTTATTGATTTTTTACAGAGAGGAAGGGAGAGGGATAGAGAGTTAGAAACATCAATGAGAGAGAAACACCGATCAGCTTCCTCCTGCACACCCCCTATTGGGGATATGCCCGCAACCAAGGTACATGCCCTTGACCGGAATCTAACCTGGGACCCTTGAGTCTGCAGTCCAACGCTCTATCCACTGAGCCAAACCAGTTAGGGCGGAAAAAAAATTCTTAAAATAAAAATCACGTAACAGAAAATGAGAAATTTTATTTCATTAAATTTTATAACTTCTTTGTAACAAAAGACACCTTAAACACAGTAAAAAAGATACACCACCAACTGATAGAAGACATTTATAATCTATTCAACAGATAAAGGATTAGTATCCAGAATATATAAAAAATTACAAATAGCAAAAAGGAACTTCTAAGAAGTGTATCTCAGACACTCACCCTTTTCTGAAGGTGACTGTTCTTCCTTCCCACCCACCAACCACATAGTTTTCGATACATAAATATACAAATAGATACATATATATCTATCTATATATATATCTATATATATCTATATATATATCTATATATATATCTATATATATATCTATATATATATCTATATATATATAGAAGAAAGAGAAAGAGAAACATCCATGTGAGAGCAGAACATCAGCAGCCTCCTGCACACTGCACAACCCTTACTGGGGATCGAGCCGGTAACCTGGGCATGTGCCCTGACTGGGAATCGAACCAGCAACCTTTTGGTGCATGGGACTATGTCCAACCAACTGAGCCACTTGGCCTTGGCCTAGCCCTGTATTTTTTTAATTAGGAACAAAAATTATTTTCCTCTTCATACCTGAAGAGATGTAGGCTATAGCCTACACTCCTCCTTTTCTGCAAACACCCAAATCCCACTCACAATGGAAGAAACATCTCCAACAAAACAATGAAGATGACATGCTAAAGAACACAGAGGTGGTATTCCACATGTACGCCTGTCCTTACAGATTGGTTACATGAGTCAAGCAATTCTTTTACCTAATTGGATTTCTGTAACTTGCAACCAAGAATTTAAAGATGCATTTAATGAAATTCTTAAGAAAATAAGTAAAAAATACACAAAAAACCCACTATTCATCATTGATTAGCTCTTTAGTAAATAAATTAGCCCTTAAGTAATAAAACCATAAAATAAAAATCTAAAATCCAAAAAGAACATAATTAACACAGAAATAAATTCTACCTATTTTTAATATATGGCACTTATTTAAAAGCAGGTCCACTACAAAGAATCATGATTCAAATACATGTGTATATACTAAATATATTCTATAGGCTTATCTATTCTGATTGCTGAATCTTGATCATTTAGCACATATACACATTCTAATCCATTAACCAAAAGTAAAGCTGAAAGGTGACTTTTTTTTTTTTGTCAGTCACCCTACAGTCATTATTAAGAAAGATGTCACTATAAACAAGATACTGAAAACAGCCAATTTTTTTGGCACTCCCAAGAGCAGACCATTACTAACCTCCTTCCCCAGTGGCAATTGACTATTCATGTCTATCACATAAGCAGGTTTCAGAAGAGAATATCATGGCACATCTCACCTCTAGGTTACAAAATTTCCTTAAAAGCTTCTTATGAAGGACTTACAGCAAAATTCTTCTTGACAGTCTGAATGAATTAGAACCACTTAGAGGATTTAACCTGTTTCTCCCACGAATTCCTCTCAAATGATTTTTCCAGTATCATAGCCAATCTAATTTGGTAAAACAAAGGTAAGGGACTTTCACCTACTGTGGAAAAGAAAATCCAAAGATAGTCCATCTAGCCCGGCTGGTGTGGCTCAATGGTTGAGTGTTGACCTATGAACCAGGAGATCACAGCTCAATTCCCAATCAGGACACATGCCTAGGTTGCAGGCTCAATCCCCAGTAGGAGGCATGCAGGAGGCAGCTGATCAATGATTCTCTCTCATCATTGACATTTCTCTCTCTCTTCCTCTCCCTTCCTCTCTGAAATAAATATATATATATATATATATTCAAAATGTGGCAGAATGGGCTAAGATAGAGGCTAAAGGCTAGGCTGTGGACTACTCTTGCTTGACAAAGGCACTTCCAAAATTATTTTCTTTCTTATCAATTTAGGGAAAAAACAAAGCCCTAAAGTAAAAATTCCTTCAAAGATTTTGTGGAACATCTAGTATATAAATCTCCTTTAAGTTCTCTTTCATGCATATTTCATTCTTTAAAATATGATTCGTTAACTATCTCCCTCTGAAGCTAAAACACCTCTCATTACTATTCCAACATGATTAAAGTACTGATTTCTTACTACTGTTCCAAAGGCAGACAGTATATAAATAATAATCGTCTACCATTTCAAACACTGGAATTAGGAAGAGAACCAGCCAGGCTTTACCTGCAAAGAACCGTGAACCCCAAGAGAGCAGTTGGTAATGTACTATGTGAATCACAGAATTCAGAGAGAACAAAAGGGAGTTCTTTGCTATCTTAGCAGAAATGGCCATTAGCTCGGGCTTCTCTTACCAGCATGTCGGTGGCACTGAGATAGTGCTTGCTGGCCATGCACTGTTCCAGCTTCTGAGGCACTTGCTTGATATTCTCAATTTCATCCAGCAGGTTCAAGACATGCTTATGTTCAATTCCTTCAATCCACAGTTTGCGAAGCTCATCCCGTTTGCAGTGCAGCAGCATCTTGCATGAAAGCAGATTTTCTTTGACCTACAATTAAAAGATTCAACCTTGGGTCAGTCCAAAGTCTTGCCAGTCTAAACCCATATCTGTAGTGTTCTTCTTTGTTACTATAAGTATCAATTCCTCACTCACACACTCACTTACTCCCCTTGACCGCTCTGCTTGAAAATTTTTAATTCTGTTTCTGACACTGAATCACTTGGGTACATCTCCACCTCTCTGTGTCTGTATTTTCTCTCCTGTAAAATGACAAAATTACTCCTAACCTACCTTTGAATGCATCTGGAAAAAAAAACTACTTAGGATATAAAGCACTCTGAAAATAGGAAGTACCATACTGATGCTAATATATCCAAAAGGGAATGACTGATATGAGAATCTGCACTATTCTTTCATCCCCATTCTTTCTTGCATCTCTTCTATTCAGCTGATAGGTCACTTGGTCCATCCTTCCAGACCAAGAACTTCAGCTAAAGTTTACAACCAAGAAATTGGGCATTCATCTGAACTGACTAAAATGAAGAGAAGACCAGTTTCCAAAAAAAAGAGTAGACACATCCCAAGATAATCTCCAAGGAAAAGGAATTGGGACATACCTAGGATTTTTTTTTTTTACCATGCATTTTGATTTTTAAATATTAAATAACACAATGGCTGACAATCTTGTAGATCTGCACAGTTAGTGGCCAGCACAGGCACGGCCTGACAAACAGGAGGCGGCGAAGAGGAGCAGGGCGGGTAGTCACATGTACGTACTTGATGGGTGCTTTCTCATTTTCTACTCTAATGAAAAATGACTTTTCACAATTCACAGAACTACTTTCATATACTTTTGACATTCCTTACACGTGTTTTTATTTAAATTAGAATTTAATATTTGTTTTTGGTTTTTGTTTTAGGTGAAATTTATGTGTGAATACATCTCCAGTGTATCATTTGATGAGTTTTAGCAAACAGATACAGCTGTATAATCTAACTCATCAATATGCAGGTCCTTTCCATCACCCTAGAACATCTACAGTGTTTTTGAAAATTGAAAATCTGTCTTCTTCTACAAGACTTGGTATGGTGTTGCACATAATGATGCTATGCTTCTGGTAATTACAACGCTAAATTTCAACATTTTCCCAAGAAAGATGGGAAATATGAAGACAGAATGCTAACATTAGAAGATTTCTTGAGAAAGCATCTCATCTTTTCCTATAACTTTTGGATAATACCTAAGTCATACTTTTATGAAACTCTCCAATGTAAAAAAAGCCCTGAGTAAGGAGATTTTTGTACTCTCTTAAAAAGCATAATGGAATGATTATTAGCTTCTAGCAGGGTCAGAGACCGGTTTGAAAATCTGTTGAAGATGGTCCTAATTACCTGTACTCCTTCCTGCAATCCCACAAAAGTGGGATTTTTAAGCATAAAGACCAAGAAAAAAAAAACAGAAAGGAAGGAAACTTTGGAAGCTAGCAAGACAATGGATGGTTGGTAACTAATTAGCAGAGAAATCTGAAAAATGAGATGGCAGAAAACTTTGGAAGCTAGCAAGACAATGGATGGTTGGTAACTAATTAGCAGAGAAATCTGAAAAATCTTAACCTGCAGTGGGGTTTGCTAACCCTGAGAAGGAGGCACCAAAAATACTGAAGGCAGGAATGCAGGGTTAGAACTTTCTATAAGGACTATTGTGAGCCCTAGACCCTCATCAAAACACACAGACAGGTAATTCCCTCCCCCCCCCCTCCCCACACAGTAGCCAAATAGGAGGTTTATGATCTGAAGGAGCTGAGCAAGAAAGGAGATGGGCCAGGAAATGCTAGATGGAAATGCACTGGGTAGAAAACAGGAGGATCCAGTCAAAGTGGATCTAAGCAACAGTAAGACCCTTGGCCCCTTGTGGATCCTCAGCCTCCTTCCAAGGTTGCCTCCAGTAACACTCAGCTTGACTTTTAGCTCCAACACAGGGAACTTACGGCTTTTCCCTGGCAAATGTAACCAGTGAAAAGACCTTTAGGTAGTGACATTTGAGTTTCACCAAAGAAACTGCCCAAGCGTCACTCAATATGCCTCATAACATGCTCTGAGCTTCATCGTGCCTCCCTCTTACATATAAATAGTTAGCCAAGGATCACCAGACAGTCAAGGAAAGCCTACAACGTGGGAAAGATGGGAATCAAAACAAATAAAAAGAAAAAAGTACTGGAGGGAATAGAGGAACAAACTATTCAGGAAACAGTTTTTTAAAAATTATAATTAATACTAGAGGCCCGGTGCACAAAAATTTGTGCACTCGGGGGAGGGGGGGTCCCTCAGCCTGGCCTGTGCCCTCTCGCAGTCTGGGACCCCTCAGGAGATGTCCACCTGCTGGCTTAGGCCCACTCCCCGGGGGGATTGGGCCTAAGCTGGCAGTCAGACATCCCTCTGGCAGCCCGGGAGCCCTTGGGGGATGTCCACTTGCCAGCGGGGAGCAGGCCTAAGCTGCAGTTGGACATCCTTAGCGCTGCTGAGAAGGCAGGAGAGGCTCCCACCACCACCACTGCTATACTGGCAGCCGTCAGCCTGGCTTGTGGCTGAGCAGAGCTCCCCCTGTGGGAGCACACTGACCACCAGGGGACAGCTCCTGTATTGAGTGTCTGCCCCCCAGTGGTCACTGTGACCAATCATTCCCAGTCGTTCTGCTGATAGGGTCAATTTGCATATTAGCCTTTTATTATATAGGATTCTTAGGAAAAACAAGAGAAGATATTATATCAAAGAACAGAATGAAAAATAACTCTTCAAAATTAAAAATATGATAGGAAAAAATCCAATACAAAGATGAAAAGATATCCTTGAATAAATATCAAAAGAATAAAACATTAAAAAAAAAGCAAGATATAGGTAAAAAGAAGATAAAAGAAAATGACGGGATTGATCTAAGAAATCTAATACTTGTCAAACTGGAGTTGGTGGGGGTGGAGATGAAAAAAATGAAGTGAAAAAAGTAGCAATAAAATAAAAGGTCCAGACCCAACCTGGGTGGCTCAGTGGCTGAACCAGGAAGTGACAGTTCGATTCCCAGTCAGGGCACATGCCTGGGTTGTGGGCTCAATCCCCAGTGTGGGGCGAGCAGGAGGTAGTTGATCAATGATTCTTTCGCATCATTGATGTTTCTATCTCTCTCTCCCTCCCTCTCCCACTCTCCCTTTCTCTCTGAAGTCAATAAAAATATATTTAAAAAATAATAGTAATAAAAGAACAAAAGAATGGGTTTTCAGATCAAAAGTTACACAGTGTTCAAAACAATGAAGTAAAAACAAGACCCAAGCCAGGGCATATTATTCTGACATTTAAGAACACAAGGGATAAGGAGATAATTTTGTACAATTCAAAGGTGGGGGGATGAGAGGGAAGAAGACTCATACAAATGACTGTGAATCAGAATGCATATCAGGATTCAAGTTGTCACACAATAAACCTTATATGCACCTATCTCACCAAGCTGGTGAAGAATGTGCTCCATCAATACAAGAGAAAAAAGGAAGAAACTCAGGATCCAGGGAAGGGGATTGGGGGTGAACCAATGCAAATGGAAAGCAACAGGATTATTCAACCACTGACTCCAAGAAAAACAACAACAAAATTACACAAGCAAATATAGTATGCTGCCTAGATATAAATATTTATGTAGTTATAATAGAGTAGGCACTATTTAACCAAAAACTAGGATACAACTATATAGAGAGGTTGAGGAAAGAAGATGTGGTGGGCGGGGGAAAGAGTGGGAGGAGGACTATGTCCTCATCTTCCACAGCTGGAAGTTCTTATGTAATATCTAAAACAGAAAAATAGTATAAACATTTTACTTAGAAATAAAGAAATAGAAATATCTGAAGAAAAAAACTAAGAGTAAAAGTCAGTGCCTCCACAGTGTTGGAATTGGGACTAGGCTAGGATGAAGTAGGGCAGTGCTGGTTTTGATCAGCATTCCTGATTTTATTTGATTTTTAATGCCATTCTCGGATCCTCTTGGAGTTCTTGGTCTCTGGGTTAATAACACTAGCTATTAAATCTATTATATTTTAAAATCTTAGTGAAAATCTATTAGAATTTGATTTCTGATATTCTACTCCTATCACCTTGGTTCTATAAATCTCACCTTTTTCCTCTGTAATTGTTACTATGGAAACAGTTAAAAGTAAAATTTAGCCGAAACCGGTTTGGCTCAGTGGATAGAGCATCAGCCTGCGGACTGAAAGGTCCCAGGTTCGATTCCGGTCAAAGGCATGTACCTGGGTTGCGGGCACATCCCCCGTGGGAGATGTGCAGGAGGCAGCTGATCAATGTTTCTCTCTCATCGATGTTTCTAACTCTCTATCTCTCTCCCTTCCTCTCTGTAGAAAATCAATAAAATATATTTTTTTAAAAAAAAAAGTAAAATTTATATTATACAACACCAAACTAGGCTCTTGATCAAAAGAAATTTATAGAGTGTCAATAGATCTTGGCCAACTCTTTTCTATTTGGAAAAAGACCATTTCCAGCATTTCACACTAGGATGTACACAGTGTAATCATCCTGCTTACTGTTGCTTACTGCATGAAGGGAAAATGAAAGGCAGGTAGCACTGGGGGAGGGCGACAGAAGGCATCAGGCTGTGTGGAAAATGAGCATCACCATAAGTATTCCCTAAACTGAGCTAGTTAACCAAAGCTGCAGATATAAGAAGCTATAAGAACTTTTAATGCTAAACTGCCCTGAGGGTTAAGTTTTTTTATTACAAAGTCACAGTTATGAAGACATGGTATTTTAAAAGTTGGGGGATGGGGGCAATACCAGTCAGCAATAAAAGGGAAGAAATATGAATCTCAAAAACATTATGCTGAGCAAAAGAAGCTGGGTGCAAAAGGGTACATACTGTATGAACTTCTAGAAAAGGCCAGAATAATTTATAGTGATCATTTCAAATCAGTAGCTGCTTGAAACAGGATGGGGGTGGGGGAGGCTATGACTGACTGCAAAGAGGCAGCAGGGAACTGGGGTGATGGTACACA